CATCTAAAATGACAGAGTGTCTCAAAGATATAAAATGCTGGATGATGCGTAATTTCCTGCTATTAAATTCAGATAAAACGGAGGTATTACTTATTGGTCCAAAAAACTACTCACAAAACCTCTTACAATGCAACTTTAATATAGACGGATGTCCTGTTACTTTATCCACTACAGTAAAAGACCTGGGTGTTATACTAGACCGCAACTTGTCGTTCGAAAATCATATTTCATATGTTACAAGAACAGCCTTTTTCCACCTTAGAAACATTGCTAAGCTGTGTAACATGCTATCTGTTTCTGATGCAGAAAAATTAGTTCACACGCATTCATGACCTCGAGACTAGATTACTGTAATGCTTTTTTAGCCGGTTGTCCTGCATCCTCAATAAACAAGCTACAGTTAGTACAAAATGCAGCTGCTAGAGTTCTTACTAGGTCAAGAAAATATGATCATATAACACCGATTTTATCATCTCTACACTGGTTACCTATTAAGTTCCGCATCAACTACAAAGTACTACTACTAACCTATAAAGCCCTAAATGGTTTAGCACCTATGTACTTAACGGACCTTCTTTCGCCCTACAATCCACCGCGTTCCTTAAGATCACTAAATTCAAGGCTTCTGGTCATTCCTAGGATATCGAAGTCCAGTAAAGGAGGGAGGGGGTTCTCGCATTTAGCTCCAAAACTCTGGAATGGCCTTCCCGATACGGTCCGAGCCTCTGACTCGCTGACACAGTTTAAAACTAGATTAAAGACGCTTCTCTTTAGTCAAGCATTCACATAATGCTTACCTTCTAGTCCTCTGTTATGCCATACGGAACCGTTTGCCACTGAAACTGCTTAACGCACCAGTGGGGCTCGACAGCCTTTTAGACAAACGGGTCGGCGCGTATGGTTGGGTTGCGGAGAGTTCAGGTTACGGAGAGTTTGTGAGTTATAACGGAAATCATTATGAACATCAGCTATGCTAATTATTTCCCATCTGCCTTTCTGCTGTTATCTCGGGACGCTTGTCCCGAGAAAAATGGCGTTCGTCAGGTCCAGTTTTGTGTCCAGCCTCTCACGGGGATTTCGGATGCCCCAACGCCTGTGATGAGATGACTCAACGCCTGTGAAGAGACGACTCAACGCCTGCGATATGTTATGGCGCCGTTTGATTCATAAACAATATTTATATTTAATATTTATATTTAAACAATATGAATGTAAGCCAGAGGAGAACTGGCCCCCGACTGAGCCTGGGTTCTCCCAAGGTTTTTTCTCCATCCAATCTGATGGAGTTTGGTTCCTTGCCACTGTCGCCTTGCTTTTGGCTTGCTTTGAGCTTGCTCAGTTGGGGTTATTTAGTGTTTAGCAATGTTGTTGATCTGTGTTGTGCTACTTTCATGTTATCAGTGTGAAGCTGCTTTGATACAATCTGTATTGTGAAAAGCGCTATATAAATAAATGTGACTTGACTTGACTCCAGATCTGGTGATGGACCTGCGTCTGGACGTGACGACAACGCAGTCCTGAAGTGTCACCAGTCTCTTCCTGTGAAGGCCTCCCTCCCTTTACCTCTGTACAGATAATCGTTGTCGGGATAATTCTGGTTCACGTGGCTACGCCGAAGTGATAAAATCCTGTATTATACATTTTAATCTCCAATTATCACTGTAAAGCTGCTTTGAAACAATCTACATTGTTAAAAGCGCTATATAAATGAAGATGACTTGACTTGACTTGACATTATAGGCTCAAGATTGTATTACATTTCGACCTTAATAAAGTATTTCCTATTCAATTATGCACAAGTATTGCATTATGTTTTGTTATTTGCTACAGCCCCTCATTATATCAAAAAGTTTATCCAGTCTATTTCTTAAAAATTCACCTTTTGTGCTTCACAGACGTAAGAAAGTCCCACAGGTTTAGAAATTGTAATGGCGTGAGGGAGGGTAAATAATGAATTTTCATTCGGGGGATATTTGTCAAGCTTGTACAGAATTATAAAAACAAAAATATTGACTTAGAAAACCAAACATTTTAAGCAACATGAAGTCTCCATGATGTCTCAGCTGCAGGCGTAATAAAATAGATAAGGAAGAGGATGATTGACAATCAAGTGTTACAAAGTTATTTTCAGGGTTCTGGAACACCACCATTATCACTAAACTTGGACCAGAACTGGCTGAGCTTCCACCATTCCTCTAAAAGTACATAAATGACTCATCCAGCAAGTTTCAAGAGCCAAGGACAACATCGCAGGAACTGCAGGATTGCCTCGTATCAGTAGAGGTCAGCGTTCACAAAGACACTGGTCCTCAAAACTTCTGAGAGAATGTTCTGCTATTCAAAAGTGGATAGTTCTGCTCCAGCGGTTCAGCGGGAACACTGTTGCCTCACAGCAAGACGCCCCCGGCTTGAGTCCTGGCCGAGCCAATAGGTCATTCTGTGAGGGGTTAGCACATTTCCAAACTCTTCCAAATCAAACACACCTGACTCAACTCATCAGCTCATTAGAAAAGACTACAAGACATGAAATGAATGCATCAGATAAAGGAGACATCACAAAATGTGTGTTGTTGGTGTGACTGGGAAACACTGGGATATGCTTATAGCATCCCTCACATAGAAGAAGTCGTTTGGAAGATGGGTGGATGAAGTTCACTCTCGACCAGAAAATCCTAAAAAGGAGAATTTTACCAGTCTGTGAAACGCAAGTATCATCCAAATCAATTCACATGTATTTCTATAGTGCCTCACAATACATATTGTTTCAAAGCAGCTTGACAGAAAATGCCAACCCGATCTCACGACCAAATCATACGAAATCGACGCATGATTAAAAAGTGTCTAATTCGTACGACCTATTATCGTATAATCGTACGAATTAGTACGATTTTGCTAAATCGTAAATATTTTACGAATTGGCCAATTCGTATGAATTCGTACGAATAACCTAACCCTTACCCCGCCCCTAAACCTAACCATCACGTGGGTTTGGACAAATCGTACAAATTCGTACGAGTGAGGTCGTACGAATTAGTATTAATTAGACACTGTTTAATCATGCGTCGAATTCGTACGAATTGGTCGTGGGATAGCGTAGAAAATGCATGTGTCTGCATTACAATTTAGAGTGATCTGTTAGCAGTGTCTAAATTATGATTTTCAGAAATGTACATATACAAATCTCACAGTTAGATAATAATGTATTCATTTAAACAATGCATTAAAGGCAGAAAGAATGAGCTACACTGTAAAAATTAGTATGACTGACTATATTAAATCTAATTAATAAAATTGAGGCAACAGATTACAATCATTATTATTAATTAAAAATTAACCAAATGAATTACTTAAATAATCATTATGTGAAAACACAACCAACACCATCAAATCATATTATCTAATTGTTCATCTGGCTGTTATAACTCACGTATAACAGCCAAACAACATTATAAATGTAAGGCGCAAGAGCCCAACTAAAACACATACTTATCTCCACAATGGTGACTTAAAATTACAGGTTTCTCCTTCAGTGATTCTGCTTGTTATCGTCAGGTATCTTCAATGTTGGCAATAAAAAAAGAGTTTTCAATTCATCTTTGACGTCAGTCTGTTTTTCCGATATACTACTCATTCTACTAATTTTAAATGGTTAACTTTTAAGTAATTCACTTGGTTAATTATTAGATTAGATTAAACATATTCAGTTGTATTCATTTTTACAGTGTAATTTAAGTAATGAATACATGTGCGTTAAGAATTATTAGGAAATATATATAAAATGTAGCATCAGTGATGTTGATTCAGAGCTTGCTTCATCTGAAGTCTTCGCAGGAGATTTGAATATCTAGTCAAAGACTGAACCTGATTGAGATGCAGTTGCATCTCAGATGGGATGGGCTGAACTAAACTAAAGCTGGTCTGAAAGGACAATACAACACAGAAAGACGGAGTTACGGTTCTCTAAAGCATTTGGTTCTGCTTTTTGCTGATATAGTTAGCACGACCAGTTATTCAGATTGCAATACTGTAGGGATTGAAAATCTGAACTGTTTATACACAAAAAACACATGAAATCAGTATAAGGCTAAATACCTTTCAACAGATCTGTAAACTAAAGAGTTTGTGCTCACGTACTTAGTGTTGCTTATGTTTACGTTGCGTTATGTTGTACGTCATAAATCAGCATGTCTATGAAACACGTACCAAGAGGATACCATACCGACACATACCAGCAAGGCTTTGTGCAAGTGCTACAGTGTGACACGGCTTTAGGTTTGATAGATTAATCCTGCAACACTGAGGCTTACAGCAACCACTTCCCAGGCGATTGTTTGCATTAAAGGCATAGTTCACTTTGAGATTAATTTTTGGTATGTTTTATCTTACCTCAAGGGCATCCAAGATGTAGGTGTCTTTGTTTCCACAGTATTTTCAATTTTGATATTTTTAGTCATATAATGGAGGTCTATGGTCACCACCTCAAAGAGCATGCACAGAGAAGTCCAAATTAAACATGATTTAATGACTCATAAATGTAAGTACACATTGATGGCCTAAGACACGAAACGAGTGGTTTGTGTGAGAAAAAAAACAGTATTTATATCGTTTTTACCTCTTGTATCCACAGCCACGTCCAAGTGATCTGAGGGAACATTCGTTTTCTCACACAAACCGCTCGTTTCGTGTTTTAGGCCGTCAATGTGTCCTTACATTTACGAGTCATTAAATCATGTTTAATCTGGACTTCTCTGTGCATACTCTTTGAGGTGGTGACCATAGACCTCCATTATATGATTGATAGACAAGAACGGATTGACCTAAAAATATCAAAATTGAAAATACTGCAGAAACAAAGACACCTACATCTTGGATGCCCTTCAGGTAAGATAGAACATACCAAAAATTAATTCAATATGAACTATCCCTTTAATGTTGTACTGCAAATGCTGAAACCCAAAAAATGTGAAATTATCCACTGATTTAACAAAACAGACAAAAAGTACTCGAAAAACCTATATTTATTTATTGAAGAGAATATTCAAAACATATTACAGTGTTCACAGGTAAATAAAACAACATTCATCCACTGTTCTTCTATTACTCTCAGTATTTAAATAATTTACAAAACAGCTTCCTGTACAAAATGACCAGAACTCATACAAAAATACTTTTATGTTTTAGCAAAATGCATAGTGTAGCTAGTATACAATACAAACGTTTGTTCTATCCAGAACACATGGGATCTCGGCTGCAGTGGTGTATCTGTGTGTGTGTGTGTGTCTCAAGCGTTCAGGCTGTACTCCTGCTTGTAGCAGCAGGGCCGACACACGGCGTGCACCAAGCCGCTGATGAGCTGCAGGACGCAGATGAGGAACTCCAGCGCGCTGAGACCCAGCAGGATCGACAGCAGCGTCACGTTCCACTCCACCACGCTAGCCGGCTGAGTGCAGCGTGACCATGTGTCTGGAGCCAGCAAATACCTGGACACATCAGTTCGGGACAACACTTCAGAGACTGTTTACAGAGACCCTCATTAATGAACAACTAAAATCTTACAAAACTTACAATGACTTCAGTCCGTATATTAGGTAGTTTTCATGTTTTTCACTTTAGATACTGATTCAAATTATTAGTAGTTCCTGTAGTAACACTTGAGTCATTACTAGTGGGAGTAGTTCACTTTTTAAAAAAAAACTTTTGCTGATAATTTACTCACCCCCATGTCATCCAAGATGTCCATGTCTTTCTTTCTTCAGTTGAAAAGAAATTAAGGTTTTTGATGAAAACATTCCAGCATTTTTCTCCATATAATGGACTTCAATGGGAACCAAACAGTTCAAGGTCCAAAAGACAGTTTCAGTGCAAACTGTTCAAAGGGCTTTAAATGATTCCAAACGATGAATAAGGGTCTTATCAAACGAAACGATCACTTATTTAATAAATAAATCACAAAGTTTAAATTTTATAAGCTCAAATGGTCACCTTGCTCTGTTCTGTGATGCGTTTGTGACTCTCCTGTTCGAACTCGTTCATCAAAATGAAAAAAATCTTTTTTCGTGTCATTTGGTTGATTAAACGAAGGAAATGAACGAGTTGAATCTGGAAAAGATTTGTTCATTTTGATAAACGAGTTCGAACAGGAGAGTCACGAACGCGCATCACAGAACAGAGCAAGGCGACCATTTGAGCTTATAAAACTTAAACTTTGTTATTTATTTATTAAATGAGCGATCGTTTCGCTTGATAAGACCCTTATTCATCGTCTGGAATCGTTTAAAGCCCTTTAACCGTTTGCACTGAAACTGTCTTTTGGACCTTGAACCGTTTGGTTCCCATTGAAGTCCATTATATGGAGAAAATCCTGGAATGTTTTCATCAAAAACCTTCATTTCTTTTCGACTGAAGAAAGAAAGACATGGACATCTTGGATGACATGGAGGCGAGTAAATTATCAGCAAAAGTTTTTTTTTTTTTAAGTGAACTACTCTTTTATACTTTTGTATAACTTTTGTCTATTGAAGTTACCATCAATGCATATCAACAAGAAAGGGAAGAAGAGCTCACCGTCCCCCGTCACCCTCAAAAGGAGATTCCCATCCCATTGAGGTGAAGCAGTACGGGCCCTTCAGGAGCGCCACACCGGAGATCAGGAAGCAGAACCCCGAGCCGGAGAGCCCCACTAGAGCCGCCACTACCGAACCACACATCTACACACACACACACAGTGTGAAACTAAGGAATCTGGCTGCAGGAGTGTGTTTCCTGTACAACGCTCAAACTCACTGCTTCACTACTATATTACGATGCATCGTTGAAGAAATCAGCTAGCTAGTCACGACTGTTTCCCGAAACCGCACTGTCACAGTTGGACGTTCAACCACATTGGTTAATGATGTCACGCATGTAGTGGAGTAATACCTAATTTTAAAGGGTTAGTTCACCCAAAAATAAAAATTATGTCTGTAATGACTCTCCCTCATGTTGTTCCAACCCTGTAAGACTTTCGTTCATCTTCGGAACACAAATGAAGATATTTTTGATTAAACCAGTCTCACTCCTCCATTGGCTTCAATGTTATTGAAACTTGGCTACAGCGACTACAGTGGCTCAACCATAAGTTTATCTAGCGACGAGAATACTTTATGTATTTCCTTCTGTGTGGGTCTTATGCATGAAACCTGCTGACGTGTGTCCGAAAGAATCTCAGTCAGCTTCTTTACTTCCGGAAGCGCGTTCTGCAGGCCTAGTGTACAAAACTTAGCGGTAAAACTTAAATAAAATCTGTTTTCTCCGAAACGGAGACAATGATTTTAGAAACGCTGATTCGCTAGTCGAATTTTGTACTAACCCTCAAAGTTGTTGACGGAGCTCGAAATATATCATTTAAATAACCTCTCTTTTTTACTCTTGTGTGACAGCTAACTGCCTCACAGTGTTGTTGACATCATTCACGTTAACCGCAGGACGTTTTTATAAACAGCAAGTGTATCATAATTTGTGTTCTGAAGATGAACGGGGTCTTACGAGGGGTTGAACTGAGTCTAACGGGGTTGAACAACAAGAGGGAGAGTAATTACTGATTCGTCACTAAGGGTGAACTAACCCTTTAATGAATCTTTATAAAAACGGATAATTCCGGTCCTTGATTCTGATTGGTTGAGCCGCGTTCGAAGCCGCTGTAAATTACTACACACACACACACACACCTGTGAGCGAATTACATAAGTGTTACTGCGCAACTGCCGTTTGTGATTCTTTGTTGCTGCATGTGTTGCTTAGCAACCGCTCTGGAATTACATTGCTTGGCGGAGGAATAAATGTGTTAACATTATATTTTTTGTTGCTGGTGTTTAAATAAATGTTAAAATGAATATTTTTATGTACAAACCGTTTTATAAACACAATAAGCCCCTTGAAACAGTGAATTTAGAACAGCTGAAGGGTTTTTAGGCACTCCGCACCACGTCATAGCTAACAACGGGGTGTTGTTACTGTTCTACATTCACTGCAAATTGCCGGCTTCGCGGGGCTTATTGCTTTAGTTTCAGATCGCATTAATGCTAGATGCCAGCAGCCATATCACCCAAGACTGGTTGCCCACTGAAGCTAAGCAGGGCTGAGCCTGGTTAGCACCTGGATGGGAGACCTTCTGAGAACACTAGAAACTCTGCTTATCTGTCGTTCCAAACACTCAACTCTGCGACGCTGTTTGCGAATGTTTCGTTAGAACTATGGCTTCAGGAAACACTGATTAGTTGAACTATGATAACGACAGAACTTGCGACCATAGTTGGCTAACGATGCTTTCGGGGAAACACACTCCTGTACAGCCTGTGCTTGAGGACCCCCTTCCCAACACTCACCGCACAGCTCTCTGTCCCACAGGAGTCCACACACTTCCCCATTCCCAGAAACACGCAGGCCGGGATCAGCACCTGAATGTGGACAAGCAGTTTTCAGTACAGTTCAACCAGCTACTTGAGTAATTGAACCTCAATTACTGCATTTTACTTCTGACTTCAATGTCAGGATCATTCAACCATCCAACAAGACTGGAACATTTTACCCATGGACTGTGAAAAGTGGTTTGGTAATGTCAGGAATGGAAAATTGCGTTGGATGTGGAGCAATCTGGCATTTTGATGAAAGATTATGAAGATATCTTTGACAGGAACTAGGGTTGTACAACTCTATCTCACGACCAATTCATACGAATCTGTGCGAAGAGTCTAAACCCCAGCGATGGGTGGGTTTAGCGGCGGGGTCAGGGGTCGGTTGTTTGAACGAATTCATACCCATTGGTCAACTCGTAAAATATGTGCGATTTAGCAAAAATAGCATGAATTCGTACAAACTAGCCATCTCGTAAAATACGTACGAATTGCCGTGAGACCGGGTTGGGTTGTAACAATATATCGTGTAATATTATATCACATGACAAAAGTGCAACAATAATATGTCCGCTGCAGATCGGTATACACAAAAAATGGAGATATTAGAAGACATGTTTGTCGTAAGAGTTATGTATAATAATGCAATTTCAATCAACATTACATTTTTTGCTAACATTTTATCATATGTATTGGAGTAATAATATTGTATCGTGAGTTCGGTATTATGTTATGTGTCGAATCGTGATAAGAGGGTACCATTACACCCCTAATGCAATTGGTACACTGTTACCATAAACTTTTCAGTAACTTACTGGCAACTATTAGCCAGTAAGTTACTGTGAATACTTTTTACAGTAAGAGTACTGTACTTCCATTTACAGTATTTAATGTATACACTGTGAAATCAAAAACAATGAAATACTGTGATTTTAGTTGTATTTACAGTAACTTACTGGTTAATTGTTGCCAGTAAGTTACTGTAAATATGTTTTACAGTAAGGGTACTGTACTTACATTTACAGTATTTTGTGTATTCACTGTAAAATAAAAAAAAATTAAACACTGTGATTTTAGTTGAATTTACAGTATTGATTGTTTTATTGTAGAAGTAAAATAAATACATACTGTGATTTAAGTTACAGTTAAGCACGTTTTTATGTATTGTATACAATACAGTACTATACATAGTTCCCACATGACGTCACAACATACGGGCATTTGCCGACCCGGCGCCATTGCTTAGGGCAAAACATTAGAAGAAGCAATACGAGTTAAGTGAAATGAGTTTCGTGCTATAAAGTGAAAATGGTCATCTCCTGCTGGGTCAATGGATGATAAAATCGTGCCGGATGTTCAGTTAAATCGGGATTTTACACTATACCCGTCATTAGACTCCATGGATGTGAGAATTATGGCTGGCGAGCATAAACAGGAAAGAAACTCACTCAAAACACGCACGAATTTGTTTGACAAAAGCACAATGTTGTGTTTTATTGCGAGTGTAAATAAATATAAGTTAACACATTGCAGTTTGAATAATGTCCTGTATGAACAAAATGACGAGGTATTAAAAAAATACAAAACAACATTGTTTCCACTGTTTGATCTCACTTTTACAGCATTGCAATCTCAGATTATGTCCCTAAAGATCCCGCAAATAATGTAGTTCCGCATTACATTAATTAAATTGCACGCGAGTTATTTATTTTTGTATTCATGCACCGAACCATGACGCCCGCAAGTAACGTTACATGCATATTACAGAAAGTACCAGTGACTGTTTTAAGGGAAAATAGGAATTAAGTTGTGCAGGCTATGGCTTTTTAATAGACAGATTAGCATAATTCTACTTCGCTATGATGACTAAGTTACTTTTCAATTGATTGCACTCGAGCAAACGTCACCAAACCAACCCCACGTCAATCTGATCGTACACCTCCAGTGATTTCCAGTCTCGGAATTGCTCACTTGTGTAAAAACTCCTCACCAATACCAGATAATGGTACACATGAAAATATTGTATCTGAGCTGAGGCAAAGTTGCATAATCAGTGCTCAGTGCTTCCTTCGTTACTGCATACGGATCCACACCATTTATGAATGAAATGTTCGCATTGTACCTCTCTCTGTCTTGTTTTAATAGTCTCTTTATAATCTATTTCACTTCGTCTTTTCATGATTTGCATAACAATATAAACATAAATAAATATTTGTTTGTAAAACGATGTAAACGCCTATGATAAACACAGCGGTTTTGTCCCTAAAGATGGCGTCTCCGGGGAGGTCACGTGACATTAATTCGCCTGTGGGAACTATGTATAAACAGTAGATAAGAGTTAATCACTGTAAATGAGGCTATTTCATTACAAGTTTTGTAAAGTTACAGAGCAAATTGTTACTAGTTCATTCAATAGTTGAACGGGGTACAAAGAAAGATATGATAAAAAAAGAAAAATTATAGTAGTTTACTATTTACTGTAGTGGCTAAATTCTGATTATTTACAGTAATGGTTTGACTACTGTGATTTTAACTGTAATGCTTGGACAACTGTCATTTTTAAGGTCTTACTGTAAACTTTACAATATTCTACTGTAAAAAAAAATAGTATACAGTAATGTTGCTGTGAAATTTACAGTAAATAACTGTAGATTTCACAGCCATTTTTTTACATATATATTGGCAAACATATTGGTTATCTGAAGATTTTGAAGTAGTGCTTGTCCTCCAGCTTAAGCTCAATTCCATTACAAGGAAAGCTTTCATTGCTTATGTGTTTCATTGTTTCCTCAGATTTAGCCTATAATAAGGTCGCCTTTTCCATTTATTTAAGTGTTATCTCAACATTTCTCTTTTAAGGTGCTTATTGCTCATTTCAACCAAGAAATCCCCAGAAGTTTACTTTATAACATTGACTCAAACCCAATCTAGGAGAAGTTTTGTATAAGTCACCCAAATTCACACAATCAGACCCAAATAATATCATCAGTCTAACACGCCTAAACCCAGTCTACAGTAAGTCTATCCATCAAGGGCGTGGGCAGGAACAGCTGAATCTGATCATGAATGAGTGATTGTGCCAAATCATAAAATATTTTCAAACTGTCTTGAGAGTTTGTTGTTCATCCCACACACTCAACTGCACCGCTTCTGAACAAGAACATTCCCATTGACTTATTTACTACATCTTAACCCCCAAACCAAAACCTTACAAGTTATTATATATGAAGAGTTCAGATGCAAAAGCCTCTCTAAGTGCCATCTGAAATTTGATCATTTTTATCAAGATTGTATATTTCAGTTCAGTAATTTCACTTAAATGACAATTAATAGGTAATCTTCATTGTCATTTAAGTGAAATTACTGACCTGAAATATATAAGCTTGATAAAAATGATCATTCTAGAAGAAAATTTAAAATGGGACTTAAAGGCTTTTGCATCTGAACTCTTCATATGTGATTTCTCTTCATTGCAGTGATTTTTCTCAATCTTAACCTCTCACCCAAACACTAACCTTTAAAACATTTACCATTTTTATTCAGTCTGTTGCTCTTGGGAAGAGAGACACCAGACAACATTTACACGAACACAAATCTGAAACTCACCAGAAAACCACCTCCTCCGATCCCCATAAGGTACCAGACATATGGGGTCACATGATGGTCCTGAATGTATATCATCTTCCCATCAGGAAAGAAGAGCAGGACGTTTGCCACGATGCAGCAAGTGGCGAGAGGGATGAGGGCGAATCCCAGAGACCTGGCAAAGCCCAGGGAACACATCTTCACACGCAGCGGAGGGACGGAGACTGTAATCCAAGACAGGGAACTAGGGTGGTGGACGGAGGAGTGGAGGGATTTTAAGAGACCACCCCCCCTCCTCGTCCCCCACGAGCCGCTGTCCCGAGGAGGAGGAGGAGACAGGAAACAGCCTGACATTATACAGTGTGACCGCAAACTCTCCGGCAGACCATATGACCCGAACACTGTGGGGGACTTTGTTTTCCCACAAAACTTGTGATTTGTAGATATTCAGAGATTCAATCAAATCTCAACCTACCAGTTTAAATCATGCTGAGATGTAGCTTTGCAGTTTTAACCTCGTGCTCGAGGTCGTGAAACTACAAGGTAGTCCTTTAGAAAGAGAATCTAATGTTGTATTTCTACAAGTATCAGTTTCTGACAACAAAGGCTCACGACATATAGACGATAGATGGAGAGTCTTTATTAACAGATTTATTAACAGTAAAAGTTGGCATGAGGTATCACTGTAAAAAAATATTGTTGGTTTAACTTAAAAAAAAAGTAACCTGGTTGCCTTGAAAAAATTGAGTTAATACAATGAAGGAGATTTATTTAATCATCGGAAACTCAAAATATTGTGTTATATGAACTACATAAATTATTTAAGTTGATTTGACAAAAGAAAAATGATGTGATTACAAATCATGAAAAGATTTTTTTTTTTACAGTGTTGTAATTGTAATATACGACACTGAAGGAAGTGTCTTCTCCTTAGCTAGGCTGCATGTATTTGTTTAAAAATACAGTAAAAACAGTAATATTGTGAAAAATTATTATAATTTATTCATGATTTGTAATCACAACATGCTTTCCTTTCTCAAATCAACTTAAATAATTTATGTAGTTACAATATTTTGAGTTTCTGATGATTAAATCAATCTCCGTTGTATTAACACAATTTTTAAACTTAAAATTTGAAGGCAACCAGGTTACTTCATTTTTTTTTTAAGTTAAACCAACAATATTTTTTTACAGTGTGAATATAATGTTAAACTGTAATTTCCTGTGATCAAAGCTGTATTTCGGGCAACATTACTCCAGTCTTCAGTGGCACATGATCCTCCAGAAATCACTCTAATATGGTGATTTGATGCTGAATATGTTTTGTGGAACTACTCCTTTGTCTTTAAAGGCACATGTGGTCAGATGTCTTGATTCAACACTTCTAATTTTAGATGGCATCACTTGCTGACACAAACTAGTGATATTGGGTTCAGAGATCACAAATGATACTGTATCTCTTTAATATAAAGCTGAGACTTTGCTGAAGTGTCCTAACATTCTCCCAGAGAAAACAGACCTCGCATGTTTCTCCTCAGATGATTTTTCCTCAATGTCTTTAGTTTTGACATCTCCTGGGAACGTCTGAGACAACATTGATATTTAGATTATCTGCGGACACGTTTGGTAATGGTGTAAAATCTTTATTAAGCAAGACCAACATGAAGTAACACAGGTATTTTCTGTGGTTCGGGATTAGACGCTGGTAATCAGGCTTTATGAATAAAGCAGCCTGTTATAAGGAAGTATTACAGTGCGTTAACTTACGTAACTCATCAGTTTTCCACAGAGGATATAGACGCCCACTGTTGTGTTGAGCTGGGCTTCGGGGGGTTCGACAACAAAAATAGAATGTTCTCAAGCATCTGTAGTACGACAAGAATGAATGTTGTAGAACCGTCTTGATGAACGTCTTGTTTCTTTGATGGTCTAAAATCAGTGAATGTACTTCAGAAGTTTAGTATACCGTTCATGTGATGGTGGTTTATTAAAACTTTATTAAAACCATCTGTAAAACATTTTGTGTGTTAATAAGAGGTGAATAACATCTGCTCATAACTTCTATTCCCTTTGTCATACTTTAAACCCTGTAATAAGTACTTATTTCAGGCGTAATATACTTTAAAAGAACATACTTAAAGGGATAGTTCTGGGGGAGTTGTAAAATGAGCCTATTTCCAAAAAAAAAAGTGGAGTATCCCTTTAAGTGTGAACTGAATGTAATGTTTTTAGACACTAAATTGCATTCTAGTTTAGTAATATTAAATGGGTAACACTTTAGTATGGGAAACACATGTTCACTATTAACTATGATTTCTAAATATACTTTTTTTTTGGAAGTACACTGCAAGTGCAAGTTCAAAACAATTAATCACACTTCTGTCTTTTACAACAGAGATGCATGACCCTCAGTAATAAAACAATCTGTTATGAATATGTCGTGAAGCAGTGTGTAAATCACTGTAACACCGCCTCTTGTGGCTTTTAAACAGCGGTAACAGAGACATAACAAAATGCAACAATGTTCAAGTAAGTTACTACAGTAATCAATTATTCATTTTATCTGTAATAAGTGATACAGTTAATAAACTGAGTAAATTATCATCAAAAAAAGTTCCTGCCTCAAACTACAATCAACTTGGATGTATATAAAACTGACTTTTAAAAAATGAGCTCAAATGAGTTAAAAAAAAAAATTAGAAGCAAAATCTTGTATGACAAAAAAGTTGAAATTTGAAAACTTATTTTGAGGAGTTAAAGAAATGTAAAAACACACGTTGTCATAACTCATTTTTTACAACGACAAGGAATGTGTTCTCTTCAAACATGGCTCGTTCAGTCGGAGTTTCCAGTCATAACTTTACATTTAATAAAACTGATTCAAATGTTTCTTTCTCACAGTCCTCTGGCAGGACATATTTTGACCTTATAAACTTCCCTTTATGAGTGCAAATTAATCAGACTAATGGGGGAAGAAAACAACGGAAGTGCAATGACTCGACTTCCTGATAACTGTAACGAGTTTACTCTTATAGCTCGTCACCTCAGCCATGAGTTTCCTAAAGACACACAAAGGTGTCCTCCACCCCTTATTTCCTTTGTGGAGAATGAATGGGAGCAGATTCCAGCGTCCTGACACACGTCGAGAGCTTTTCTGCTGTGATCACAACCATACAAATACACCCTTACATCAGCCGAATGCTGTGGCGTCATATGCAGCGGTGTACTAATTAGGCTTTACTTTTAATTTACTTTACCACTAATTAGCATTAGCTACAAACTCTATATGCTGCGCATCAGTTACAGGCTTTGTATTGTGACTATGTTTGACCGTATACGGTCCCTGTTAAATAAATGAATAAATAATTAAAAATAAATACTACTCATTAGACTTCTAGCCTATAAAGAGGGTTGTTCTTGTTGAAAATTACATTAAACTGAATCAAAACCAAAACAGGTTTCAAAACATGAACTTAATATGCTATCTATAAAATCACATAGTAAGATATCAACATTTGAACCAAGAATTGATTTCATCAGTGTCACTGTTCTGGGTTTGAGTCTTACTGTTTCCTGCTCATGTTTTCTTTGTCTAAGTTCATTAGTTGTCATGGTTTTTGATTTGCCCCCAGTGTACATTGACATGACAACCATATGCTTAAAGTTTTCCACGTACAGACAACACCATTGTCAAAACGATGCCCATTCACATGGATCTGTGTAAACGACTGACTGTGCGTTCACACCGGACGTGAATAGCCCGTCAAATTCGTGTCTACCGCGTCTAGTGTGACGCTTGACCACTTTGTGTCAAGAGCAGTGATGGAGGAAGTACTGAATCTCAGTACTTAAGTAAAAGTACAAATACCCAGATAAATATTTACTTTAGTAAAAGTAGAAGTAACACAATGACAACCATACTTAAGTAAAAAGTAAAAAGTACTTTATTTTAAATGTACTTTAAGTATTAAAAGTAAAAGTACTTGCATAACAATTTATTATCTTAATGTCTATTTTCTAATGATTAATAAAACATTTAATTCTAACTCATTCAACCTAATAGCCTACTCCTATAATGATGTTCAATAATGATGGAAAAAAATGTCACCATTTCTGAAACAAGCTTGCAATTAGGCAATATCATGCTTATCCTTAGTACTATATGTTAATAACTATGTTTGGCAGTAAACGCGATTCATTTATGGTGTAATTCTGAACCTCTTGGCTTGCCATAATCCTAACCAAACCAAACATATATTTCACACGGTGTGTTTCCTATGCACGTAAAAACTAATTTTCGCGTAGTTGCATGATAAACACACTGCGTGTGAGACGCATTTAGTGTGACCGGGTTGATATACTGTATCTATGGCAACCAAACGTCACTGGTGAGACAAACGTGCAACGAACGGACGGTCAGATTACGTTTTGGCAGGGGAAAAACTGATCAGAAAATGTAACGAAAATGTAACAGAAGCTGTAGAAATGTAGTGGAGTAGAAAGTAGAATAATTGCTGCAAAATGTAACGAAGTAAAAGTAAAAAGTATGCACTATTTATTGTACTTAAGTAAAGTAAAGATACGTGAAAAATGTACTTAAGTAAAGTAACGAAGTATTTGTACTTCGTTACATTCCACCACTGGTCAAGAGTGAAACTGATGCGCGCAAATTTCACTTCAAACTTTTGTTTTTACACGCGTCAGTTTCACTCTTGACGCGCGTCAGAATCAAACCCCGTTGGCGGCCATCTTTTATATGCCGACCGAGCATTTATAGAGTCACCGCTCTATATTTGCTCTGGAGAGCAGAGCGGTGTGGGGATCATCGTCGCCGTATTTGTGTCCACCGGACCCTTCAGAGGCGAACCGTTTGGCGAGTTTCACAATTTGCTCGCTCCAGGAGCTGCGCTATGACAGCCGCTGTCAGCGGTACTTCCGCCTGTCCCGCGCACAGTTTGATGACCTGTTGTCCCGCATCGGAGCGAGGATCACGCTCGCCCTCATCCATCTAATCTGTCATTTATTTTGATGATAAATAGAGCCAGCCTCCAAAAGTTATTAACCTGTCATGTGATTTTTTTCTCTCTCACGCCCAGACACGAACTTATGCACAGGTATGTTGGTTGTCTTCACATCATAATAATATTTCATATAATCTAGATATGGAATTCAATAATATTGAATACAAAATGAATATGTCTCGTATATTGAAATAAAGTTTTGAGTGATAAAATATTTGCTTTGTTGTGCATCAGAACCACACCAG